GTAGCTGCGTGGCCTTTACCTAATTACCCTACTTCTCCATGCCTCAGTTTCCACAACTGTCAAATAGAAATTATTTCAATACCTGTTTCATAGGGTTGTCGTGAGGCTTAAATGAGTTAATACATGTAAAGTACTTAGAACAGAGTCCAGCACGTAGTAAGCGCCAAGTACTAACAGTCATCATTGATGGGCGCTGCTCTCTCCGGGACGGCTGTGCCGTGGTCCCTCCACCCACCCCAGCCGCAGCGGAGAAGCTAGAAGCGGCCGTCAGACCCCTTCCCACCGGCATCACCCACCCCAGCAGCTTCCCTCCAGGCAGTCTGTGAACAGAATTCAGGGGGTCTGTGCATTTGGATAGGAAAAACTTATCTTTATTTTTATTACTCTAACTGAAATTTAGTGTTTCCTTTAATGATGAACATAGGCAACAAACCACAGTGGTATCGGCAGTGCGTGTGACCTGTCCTGAGGGAAGTCACGTCTCGTTACAGTTGTTGCAAATATTATTTACGTTCATGACTATGCCGATAGAGCTGCAGCTAGATCTTGCTCATTCATGAAGAAACACGTTTTATTCTATAGCAGTTTCTTTGTATTTCCATAACTGTATTTTAATATACCGTCATGCACCACATAACGACATTCTAGTCAGCAACAGACCGCACGTAGAACAGTGGTCCCCTAAGATTACAGTGGAGTTGAAAACTTCCTGTCACCTGGTGATTTGTGTCACTGCTGCCTGCAGTACTCGGTGCAGTAACGAGCAGTGCAGGTCTGCAGCCTGCGAGCGGCCGGGTAGCCCGCATAACGCAGGTGTGTCCAGGCTACCGATCTGGGTCCGCGTGAGCACGCTCTGTGATGTCGCACGGTGGCTACAAAATCGCAAACGTGCATTTCACAGCAGTGACCTGCGGAGGGAGCCACAGGCTCCGCTGCACCGTCAAAGGGTCCAAGGCACAAAATGGCCAAGAGCCCCTGCCTGGACCCTGCCCTGCCTGGACGTGACCTGTCCCGCGAGGCCGCCCCTCCTGGCCTCTGGGCCCAGAGGCCCCCACCGTGCTGTGGTCCTGCCCCACGAGGGGCCCTGCCCGGTGGCGGTGGCCCGAGGCTGCCCCCTGCCGGCCTGAGGCTCCCTCGCTGACTCCTGGGGTTTGAAGCCCAGGAGAATTTTTTCCAGCCCTTAGGTCTGTATGAAAAACTAAATTTCTAGGGTAGCTTAAAGGGCCAGGGCAACGGCAAATTCGAGGAGCCGTGGCTGATTCAGTTAGGGCAACGGACTGTGATTGTCCTGTCATTAACCCCTAATGTCCAAGGGTAACCCCAAGACAAGGCAGGAGAAATAAGGTGGACGAGAAGAAAGAGACGAGGAAGAGGCTGGGCTTGGGTGAGGGGAGCGAGAGTGGTTACTCCACAGCCGCCTTGAGGGGCACCCGGACCCAGGTAACACCCGGGCCAGAAGAAGGGGCTGTCTGTCTGTCCTCGGGAAGCTCAGTCTTCCCCCACCCGTTTGTTCTTCTCCTCCCCTCCCCGTCTCCCCCGTCCCATTCCAGGGAATTCACTAAGGAGCGGGAGAAGGCCAAGTCCAGGGGAACCTTCCAAAAGCTCCGGGAGAAGCAGCAGCTGGAGGAGGACCTTCGGGGCTACATGAGCTGGATCACGCAGGGCGAGGTCATGGACGTGGAGGACTTGAGAGAAGGTCGGCCCGAGGCCGTGGTCGGCCTCACCCCCACCGCCCCGTCTCTGAGCGCACCTTGCAGGTGGCCCCAAGGGGCGCACAACCTCGTTTACCCTCCAGCAGGCCTGGGAGGCCCCCTGGGGAGGGCTCATATTTGCCCTTAGAGGGTGGGGGACTTGCCTAAAGCCTTTTGTCTCTGAATGGCGGGATCGGGGTTCCCAGAGCTCCACCCAGAGGCCCCGCCCCGCAGATGTGGGCTCTTCACTCTTCAGCTCCTGGGACTCTGGGTCTCAGGAAAGCACAGAGGGACCTGGGCCTACCCAGGGCCCCTCATTGGAGCTGTCGCTGGTCAGTGGGCCTTTTTCAGGGTTGCCCAGCCCAGGTGGGTCCAGCCCAGAGGCCCGAAGCCTGGCTGAGTGTGTCTCTCCTATCCCAGGGCGGCTGTCTTTGGACGAAGGTGGCTCTGACACAGAGAGCCTGTATGAGATCGTGGGCTTGAACAAAATCATCCAGTTCATGTGAGTGTCTGCCCGTCTCCCCACAGGCCGCCCAGCCCCCGGCTGCCTGAAACGCGGAGTCAGAATCCAGTTTCCTTCCCCTCGGTGGTTTTAGAGTCACTTTCCCGACCGCTTAGAAAGGCAGCTTTTCTGAGAAAACAGGGCCAGTTCCTGCTCTGAGGGCATCTACAGTGACCAGACCTCGGGGCACGTGCGATCTGAGAGGGCCCCCAGCAGATGACCTATTTACGTCCCCCAGGGACCTGGTGGGGCAGGGAGCACCTTTGCTGCCACGCTCTGATCAGCGCGGAGCCGGGTGGAATAGTTCGTGCTGGAAACCTCCACAAGGGAGAGGGACAGTGCGCGTGGCCCAGAGGTGACACAGAAACGGCAGCATTTCAGGGAGGAGGCTGGCCGTGGCCCAGGAGTCTGGAGACCAGGGGACACTCCAAGCTCTCTTGCCTGCCTTTGTCTTAAGAGGAGGGTTTGTTTGCTCGGTTTTACAAAATCACACGTAATTATGATTTTGAGAAATCAAACAATAGAGAAATACATCAAAGAAAGGAGGAAGGTCCCCAATGCCCTTCCGAGAGGTAACCATGGTAACAGACTTGTATGCCTCTAAGATCTTTTCTCTGCTTTCATCCTGCTTGAATATACTCCAAGATTTTTTGTTTTTGTTTTGTTTCTTATATAACGGAGTTATTTATGTTAACTGCCGCCACTACAGAGAATAGAACAGTGCCCGGCACATAGGAGGTGTTGCCAAATATTTGTTGAACAAATGAACATAAAATACACATTATCTCATGACTTACGTTTTTACTTAAAATTATCTATTGAGGGCAATTTTTCCCCATCTTCTTTTGGTATATCTTTGGGCGTAAAGTATTCAACAGTAGGGATAGATCATAATGGATTTAATTAATCTTTCTAGTTTTTGGCAATGCAAAGTGCTTCAGGGAACAATTGTACATAAGTGTGACCATTGCTGCTGGCAGAATTCTAGAAATGGAATTTCTGGGTCAAAGGGTACATGAGTTTGAACTTTGGTAGGTGCTGCCAAACCACCCTCCAAAAAGACTGTGCTATCAAAGTGCCATGGCCCCGCACCCTCCCCAGATACTGTTAATTAGTTAAAGAATGGCCTTTATAACGGGAAAAACGTGGCATCTCGGTGTTGCTCTATGTGGAATTAAGCTGTGCAGAGCGTCTGCTCCATGTCAGGTGTGGCGCTAAGCATTTTGTGTGCTTCGTCTCATTTCGTTGCCTCGGGTTTGCATCATCATTTTCTTCTTTGAAAGATGGAAAGTTTGGAGCGAGGGGCAGGATTTTAACCAGTCTGGCTCTGCAGCTCATGTCCGTAGCTTCTCTCCTGGGGCTGGGTGGGGAGGGGGCGGTCAGACTGAGCACACTGGAGTCTGTCTGAAAGTGACTCAGAGAGGCGGGACGCAGAGCAGAGCAGCACTTTGCCGCCATCCTCCTGTCCCCTCCCCAGCCGGCACTGGAGGCAGTGGAACCGCATCTTCCGCTGGAAGTGCCACGACATAGTGAAGTCCAAGGTCTTCTACTGGCTGGTGATCCTCATCGTCGCCCTCAACACCCTGTCCATCGCCTCGGAGCACCACAACCAGCCTCTCTGGCTGACCCATTTGCAAGGTGAGCCAGCACGGAGTAAAGCCGTTAAGAGGGCTGACTGGCTGGACGTCAGAACCAGCCAGGGGCACCGCAGGTTTTGCAGAAGAGGTCGATTAGATAGTGACGTCATTTCCTAGCAATTCTCAGCTGTTGGGGAGGGGGTCCTGTGGTCTAACCCTCTCCTTTCACAGTGGGGAAATGGAGATCTCAGCAGGCAAGGTGACACACCTGCCTTTCCCCCTCATGGCACTGTCACTTACCAGGGGCAGTAACGGCAACACACTGGGACAACCTCCAGCTGCTTGCCCAGGTGTCTGGGCAAATTATTCCAATTACAGAGCACTGGAAATAAGGTTTCCAGTACTTTAGAGCTCTAAGTGTCCAAGTTCAAATTCTACTACAAAAACAGCAGTCTTTCACCAACTATGTATTGAATGCCTCCCGTATGTAAGTCATAGAAGAACTCAGAATGCAGAGAGGACTAACGCCCTGCTCTTGACTTCAAGGCACTTACTTAGAGAAGAAGACAGGTATTAACAGGTAAAGTCAACACAAGGAGGGCAATGGTAGAGGCAAATACACGGTAGCAAGAGGAGGATCACAGAGGAGGGATGTTGGAGCAAGTAGACCCTAAAGGATGAGGAAACAAGCCCTGGGAAGTCAAAGGGAGGAGGGACAGTGTGTGCAAAGATGTGAGACAGTGTAGTGAATTCAGGGAGCCGTAAGAACTTTGTACGTGACTATGAGAATGGCGAGAGATGCGTTTGCTCATAGGGGGCCTTTTATACTTTAATGAAGTGCTGGGACTTTACACTTTAGGCAGTGGAAAGCCAGAGAGAAGTTATAAGCAGGAGCACAACATAATCAGACCGGAGTGTTGGAAGGATCTGTCTTGGTGGGAGGTCAATCAATGGGCTCGTCCCTGCAGTAGATGTCCCCTGGGTGTGGAGCTCTGCACTGTGAGAGGAGCAAGGCAAGAGGAAAGGAGGACCGATTCCAAGAGCATGGTGGACAAACTAAGTGCATTTATTCATTGATTGCAACCGGTCTTCCTGAGAGCCCTTGAATGTGCCGGGCACCGCCAACACATCATCAATGACCACACGTGCAGATGGGAACACTGCCCACCAAGAGGGGTCAGGGAGGGGTTTGAGGTTCACGGCCTATGCAGATGAATGGACAGTAGTGCCACTTTCTGAGACGAGGAAGATGGCCAATGACAGGTGTTTTTGATAGGTGGGGGAGGATGGGCAGTATCCATCAGCTTGGTCTTGGGCATACTGAGTTTGAGGAGCCTTTGAGACATCCCGATGGAGATGCCAAGGAAGCAGATGGAAAAATAGATCTGGAACTCAGCAGAAAGATCCCAGTTGAAGAAATAAATTGGGGAAGCATTGGCAGGAACGGCAATTAAAGCCGTTAGATAACATCACCAGATCACCAGGGGAAGTGTATACTCAAGTGAGTAGCTCAAGTCCAGCATTCAATGACTTGCTGTTTCATTCCACTGAATTCATGGCTGGAGTTGCCCCAAAAGCAGTGGCAGGGAAGTTCCCACAAGGGAGGGCCCCAAACTCCCTTGGGGTTGCAAAGACAGAAGCACTAAAGGCCGGGGTGATCAGTCCAAAGCATTTGTATGTTAGGGGAACTTGCTAATAGAGTGCTGCAGCAACCCTTGCAACAGACAGCGAGGGAAAGGGGTGTGTGTCCACAGCGGGGGTTCCGGGCGTGGGGTTTGTATGAGGTTTCAGGAATTTGGCTTGGGGCTGGGGCCAGTTTCTTTCAGTGCTTTGGGCAATAATCTAGATACCTGGGAATGTTCAAGGCCCCAGTTTGGGTTCAAGCCTGCCAAGAAAAACCTGTAGCTGGCCAGGCTGCAGAGCAGTCAAGGCACTCTGATCTTCGGTCAGGACACAGAAAGAGCAAGGGGAAGTCGGGGACCCTGCAGTTGCTGATGTAAAGAATCACCTGCAGAGGAGGGTTAGGAGGATCCAGAGAAGTAGAGGAAATCCCGAAGGATGTGGTCCCCGAGGAGCCAAGGGCAGAGAACGTTTGAAAAACCAAGAGCCTGGCTGGCAGTGCCCAGTGCTCCCGGGAGGCCAGGAGAAGGAGGGCCAGGGTGTCCACTGGACTTGGCCACGTGGATCGATGCCCCTGGAGAGAGCCGTGTCGGCGGAGTCACAAGGGTGGGTCCAGATGGGGACGTGCGGAGGAGCACACAGGGCAGACAGCGTGTGCGGAGGTGAGGAGAGCAATGCAGACAATCTGGGGGTTGCCAAGACAGACAGGCAGAGCTAGGACAGGACGGGGAGGGAATGGGGGGAGACCTGGGCTTTTAAAGATGGCAGTGGGGGGGCCCGTTTGAAAGGACGAAGTTAAATGTACAGCATAGGAAAGAAAAAGGATCTTTGACAGTGGCTTTCCTGAAATGGGGTTGCGGGGAAAGCATAGGAGGATTAGGCTTTCGGTAGGTGAGGGGGCCCCTCCTGTACGAGGGAGGTGCACGGTGACAAGAAAGTAGCAGAGCTTAATGGACTTCAGCAGAATTAAAAGTACTGAAACTCTCTTCCTGTTAAATATGGTGTGGTTTGGCTTGTTAGATATCAGTGGACAAAATTCACCAGGTTTTACTGGATTTTGAACATAAAAAAAATCCATGGACACATGCTGGGGCGTCCTGGGCCGCGGCTCGGCGGGGCGGAGGCTCAGAGGCAGGAGGGGGGGGGAGCGGGGCTGAGGCTGTGCCGCCGCCCTGCAGACGTGGCCAACCGGGTGCTGCTGGCCCTGTTCACCATCGAGATGCTGATGAAGATGTACGGGCTGGGCCTGCGCCAGTACTTCATGTCCGTCTTCAACCGCTTCGACTGCTTCGTGGTGTGCAGCGGCCTCCTGGAGATCCTGCTGGTGGAGTCGGGCGCCATGACGCCGCTGGGCATCTCCGTGCTGCGCTGCATCCGCCTCCTGCGGATCTTCAAGATCACCAAGTGAGCTGGGTCTGGTCTGCGCCCATCTCGTCTGCCCTGCTCTGGCGTCTGCACGGTCCCCGTGCCGCCCCTGGCCCCGGACTTCCCTCCCTCCTCGAAACAACCTCCCTCTGCAGAAAAGAAGTCGCTCCCCTGTTTTGAACTCATTTCTCTAGTTTTTTCTCACCATTGTGTGCGGCAGGGCAGGGGAGAGGGAGCGGCGGGAAAGAGGAAGGAAGAGGAGAAAAGGGAAAACTGGCAGAAGCAGGGAGAGGAAGAGAAGCAGGGAGAGGGTGGAAGGGAGGAGGAGGAGGAGGAAAGGAAGAAGAGAGTTGCTGGGTGGTGCGGGAAAGCGAGGCGCTCGCTGACTTGCGGGCATTTATTGTGCACCAGTGTGGGCTGGGCGCCGTTCCAAGCACAGGCACACGGCGTGCCCGAGAGAGTGGTCCTTACGCTCACAGGGCTTCTCAGCTAGTGGTGGGGCCAGAAGCTAATCGATAGTCCCACTAACGAGCGTGAAGTGACAAACCGAGATAAGTGCTGTGACGGAGGGAGAGAGTGGCCACACGGCCTGAATCGCAGCCCCCAGCCTGAGCCCGCCCTCTCTCCCTCTGTGCCCCCAGTCCCAAGCCTTCCCCAGGCCCGCCCACACCTCAGGAGCACAGGTGAGAGGGGTCTGGCTCCTCCCCACCTGGTGGCCCCTCTCCCTTCAGATACTGGACGTCCTTGAGCAACCTGGTGGCCTCCCTGCTCAACTCCATCCGCTCCATCGCCTCCCTGCTGCTGCTGCTCTTCCTCTTCATCGTCATCTTCGCCCTCCTGGGCATGCAGCTGTTCGGGGGCAGGTATGATTTTGAGGACATGGAGGTGCGGCGCAGCAACTTCGACAACTTCCCCCAGGCCCTCATCAGCGTCTTCCAGGTAGGCCACGTGCCCTGCCCTCTGTGTGCTTGCCGAATCCTGCTTGTCCTTGAAGATCAAGGTGGGCATCACCTCCTCCAGGAAGCCTTCTCTGATCTGCTGGTTGAGTTCAATGTCCTTCTCCAGGCTTCCCATCACCTGTGCTTCTCTCCATTGTAACGCTTGCTTAGTTGACTCCTCCTCTGGAGCTGTACCCAGTTGGTCTGATTTAGTTTTGTCCCTGGTGCTTAGAGAGTCCTGGCCCACAGTGGGGTGACAGCGAATGTCTGGATTTGGGGTGGGCTGGGAGTTCATGGGTGTCCTTTCTCTCCCACGTGCTGCTCACATCTCAGGGCAAAGTCAGACAAGGGGCGCCTTCCCTCCCCGAGGCTGGACAAGCCCCAGAGAACGCAGACCAGGTCTCACTCCGGAGGCGTGGCTCAGCCCACTCGCCAGAAGCCACCCAGGGGAGCGTGGCCGTGACTCAGTGGGAGGCCGCAGAGCCGCAGGCCTCCTGGAGGAGCTGTCCTAGTGCAGAGCATGGAGACGCTCCTCTCTGGGTAGCCAGTACCCCTCGAGTGACGCCGCCCTGCTGCGCCAGCGGGAGGGCAGTGCGTGAGCTTCAGTAGGTCCTGTGGGCGGCTTTGCCCTCTCTTTCCTCCTCTCACCTCACTGGATGGTCAGGCATCAGGCCCTCCAAGGGACTTGACCTTTCACACCACTTCTGGAGGCCGGAGCGGCAGGAGGCCTGGGTGGGTGCGGTAGGGTTAAGCCCCGGGATTGGGAACACGACAGGGGAGTGGTGAGCCCACAACCCAACCCCCTGGTCCTGGACGGCACCATAAGCTTTTGGACCCCTGGAAGAGGGGCGCTGAGGAGAGCAGGGTCACTGGCCCGTGCAATGAAGAGAGGGAGGTCCGGGAGAACCGCAGGGGTGGAAGAGGACTTTGCACGAGGCAGGCCCGACAGAAGACTCTGGGGCCCCCTGTGTCCCCGTGCTCTCGTCCCGCCTCTGCCCTAGGTCCTGACGGGTGAAGACTGGACCTCCATGATGTACAACGGGATCATGGCGTACGGCGGGCCGTCCTACCCTGGCGTGCTCGTGTGCATTTACTTCATCATCCTTTTCGTCTGCGGCAACTGTATCCCCTGGGAGCGGAGTGGGGACGAGAGCTTAGGGAGGGGGTGGGAAAAGGGCTTAGAGTGGGGGTGAAGGGTGCCCACTTTGTAGGCAGCCCGGCCCGCTGGCTGGAGGGGAGCTCCCAGGCTCATGGGGTCCGGGGATAGGGCACAGCAAGTGCAGGTACAGCTGTAGGATAATTCCTTCTGCCGAAACGGGTAGAGGACCACAGGGGCGATCGGTTACAGGTAGGAGGAGTTAATTCCAGCCAGATGGGTGAGCCTGGAGCAGGTAGGAGGAAGGCCTGCGCTTCCCTGAGGAGCAGTGAGACGGTGGGACAGCCCCGTGCAAAGGTTCAGGGGCAGCAAGCAGGAACCAGGACCTTGTGGCCAGGGGTGGACCGTCTGAGCACTGGGATTGGAAGGACTGAGCTAGGACAGGCGAGAGATGAGCGGAGGGGAAGGAGAGGTGGGTAGGGCAGAGAGATGAGGTGCCTGAGAGGTCCTGGCGCCCACGCCATGGGATTTGGGATTATGGGTAGTGGGGAGGGAGGGCGCCATCGTCCCTCAAGCTCATGGGGGCCTGGCGCCGTTCTCTCCTGCTTTGCCTCCTTGGCCCCCCACGAAGGGGTAGGGTTAGTTCTGGGCAGGAAATCGATGGGATTCAAGGGCCACAGTGGATTCTGCCACAGGGCACCCTCTGCAGGCCGGTTTCCCTGAGGACGTGCGTCTGTGTCCCTGGACCCACCCATTCCTGTGGGGTTGCTCTGGCAAGGGGGACTCCAGCTACCCCACCACGGGAGCAGCTAGGCCCTGCCCCATGCAGGCAGGGGGACCCCTGCCCAAGGGCTTCCCTTCCAGCACAACGCAGGGCTCCTTAGCTGGACCCTCAGATATCCTGCTCAACGTCTTCCTGGCCATTGCCGTGGACAACCTGGCCGAGGCGGAGAGCCTGACTTCCGCCCAGAAGGCCAAGGCCGAGGAGAGAAAGCGCAGGAAGATGTCAAAGTGAGTGCGGTGCCACCAGCAGGCAGCGACCCCGAGTGCTCGGCTGGCTGTGGCCTCCCAGCTCTGGGAGGGGCCTCCCGGGGCCTCAGAACAGAGCCCCAACCCTGGGACGCCTGCCCCAGTGGGCAGACTTCTGCTACCTGCACGTGGGGACTGCTGACGGCCTCCGAGGGGTTTCTGCGGGCGGGGCTAGAGGCGAGCTGGCCTTCTGGACAGACTGGCCTCAGGACTGTGGGGTCAGAGCCGGGCAGGTGGGGCCAGGATCCCCGGGGAGGAGGCCTGGGAATTCTCCTCCCAGCCCTGCCACTGAGCCACTGTCCTTCTGCGGGGAGTCATTTCCCTTTGCTCAGGCAGCCCCTCCTGTGAAGCGGGGATTAACTTCCCAGCTTCTTCACAATTCTCATCTGTGATTTTGTCGTTTAACTCTTTGTAGCCTGGCACCCTCCCTGGGAGTGAAAGTAGACTTGTCTTCCAGACAGTGTTTCTCAAATTCTAACCACAAATGACTTCAGCTGGTCTGGGTCAGCTGGTCTGAGTCAGGTGGGGTGGGGTTGAAGGTCACATCTCACAAGCTCCCAGCTGGTGCCAAGGCTGCCGGTCGGAGGACCACGCTTTGAATAACCAGGCTCTAGACAGCGGCCTGCTTCTCCCACACCCATGGCTGCGGGAATGGGACACACGTCCCTGTGCAGGCAAGACGGGAAGAGACAGGGAAAGACAGACTAGCAAGGGAGTCCAGACATTTCCAAAGAACTGAAGCCGTCTTGCGCAAACCTGCAGCCCGTGAGTTCTGTATGAACCAGCACAGAGCCACGTTCCTCCCATTCACCATCAACAACCGTCAACCGTGGCTGACCAGGGAGCCACGCTCAGCCACAGGCCGGAGCTGTGCGTCATGCCCTCTGGTCACAGAGAAAGCACTTGCCCAGGCCTACCGCCCTTCCCATTTGGTGGAGGCCAACGCCACTCCTTCTTCCACAAGAGGAGCCCTGGTGTGGGACCCTCCTAAGAGCGATGTCGGGCTGAGCAGACCCCGAGAACTTTCGTGTTCAGCTTTCACCTTGGGTTTTCTTGGTTTTCCAACTCAGGGGTCTCCCAGATAAGTCAGAGGAGGAGAAGTCCATGATGGCCAAGAAGCTGGAGCAGAAACCCAAGGGTGAGGGCATCCCCACCACGGCCAAGGTGAGCACCTCCTGTGGGGGTTACAGGCAGGATGGGGGGCACTCTTAAAGTCCCCGTAGTTCCTGCCCCAGCACCCCGGGGTGCAGGTGGAGCAGGGTGGGAGGAAGGAGAGTGGTCCTGTGCCAGGCTGTCAGCCAGGTCCGGGCATCTCCCTGCATTCTGCTGGAGGGAGGCCGATGGGTACACCTCCTCCAGGAGTCACCCCAGTCTGGAGCCAGATTTCCTTAGAGTCTCAGCTTCCCACGCCAGAGCAAGAAGGTGTCTCCCCTCCTGACACCGGCTGTTCCACCGAGAGGCCCAGACTGGCTTCCACCATTCCTAGCCCTGTCCCGCTCACCCCAGCTGGGCTCTGCTCAGCATTCCTGAAGATGGGAAGTGGAGTTCAAAGGGTCAGGGAACTGGGCCCCAGAGGGACTGGGGTTCCTGGCCTAGGGTGCTCAACTCTCTTCTGGAGAACCAAGCAGGGGGTGCAGGGAAGACAGGCTCAGACAGGCCTGGGCTTGGGCAAGTTCTCGGGCCTTGCTGGGCCTGGCTTCTCATCTGTGAAATGGGGATGATCATAATATTCCCTGTCCCGCAGGCTGCAGGGTGATACGGTGAGCTGAAAGCCACACTGGCTTTCCAGTATATGCTCAATAAATGGAAACTGCATCTGTTTTTTCATCATTATGTTCCTCATGTTCCTTCCTGCAGCTGAAAATTGATGAGTTTGAATCTAACGTCAATGAGGTGAAGGATCCCTACCCCTCGGCTGACTTCCCAGGTGAGGGTCCTTGTGGCTGGGCTGGAGCAGGGTGCTAGGGCGGAGTGTGCTGGTGCTGAGTTCTTCCCATGGCTGTCTCTTGTATGTCCCCTACCTGGACCGCTCCATGCGGGGACAGGACACTGGAGACATCCCTTGCAGATAAGCCATCTGCCAGCCTGCCTTTCCCTGCAACACACAAATGCAAAAATCCACACATTTTATTTTCAAGTAATTAAGCAAGTATTTATCGAGTGCCAGCTCTGTGCTTTGGTGCTGAGGACTTGGTGTTCAAGAAGCACAGAGACTCGTGGAGACACAAGTCTCCCCTGCCGGTCCCACAGAACGGACCACAAGTGCAGGCATGCCCCTCCATGTGGTGAGGGGGCAGAGCGCTCGCCATCCCATAAGCAGGATGGGGGCTGGACTGGGGCCCGGAGTGACACAGGGACAAATAGAGCCGTGACTGGCGTGGGAAAATCCAAAAGAAGAAGACAAGGGCGGGATGGGAGGGAGCATGGGTAAGACACAGCCGTGGATAAACTGCAAACATGTCGTAAGTGCAAATAGCCTGTGACTGCTGCAGAAATCCCACCCACCTGGACCCACGAGAGGACACAAGGAGGAAGCAGAACCAGGCTGCAATAATCTCACAAAGCCACCTGCAAGAGCCCTTGGACCCAAGAGCTCCGGGTTCTCTCAGCTCACACAGGGGTCTTTTGGAGCATTGGGTCACTGGGGCAATTCTACGTCTATCTGTGGGATCAGCTAATTAGCATCCATGTGCCCCAGTGACTCTAAGCTCCAAGGGGACTTTTTGTGTTCCACGTGGCACAGCATCTGGCACGGAGTAGGCACTCAGTAAATTGAATGAATGAATGAACGAATGCATGAAAAGATTTTGCCAAGTGTGGGGAGAATGGAGCTAGTGTAAGTAAATTGTCTTCAAACACCTACCAGAAATGAGTATTCGTGTGTTAGCACAATTCATGCTGAGCAGTTCCATCCACTAGCTGGGAGCGGCTGGTGTGCAGCACACGGGGGGCTGACGTGGGAAACCCGGGGTCAGGGAGAGGGAAGAGGCTGGAAAGAAACGAGGGGGAGAGGGCAGAGGGCACGAGGCTGGGCCGCTGGGAGAGCGGTCTTACCGAGGGGGGATGTGTTCATATCTGCTTCCTCCTGAAGATACTTTGCACTTGCTTACAAGAAGATATGCTCAATAACTTTAACAAAAGGGGCACAGAGGAAATAAGAATTAAGGGGGAGAAAGGATGCAAATATGTTAACTCTAAGAACTAACAGTCACGATTAAGCATAAATGTGTCTCTGGGGTGCGTGGCAGGCTGGGCCAGCCAGGGAGTGTCATGTTAGGACACAGGACGCTCATTCTGAGTACAAAGAAAGAGTTCTCGCTTCTCGGGGGAGCAGAAGGGTTGGACTGTGATTCGGGTGGATTCGAGAACCCCTGGGTGATGGTTCACGATGAGCACCACGGTGGAGTGAGTGGAAGCCAGTAGCTTTTGGCTTCTCTGAGGGCCTCTGCGGGGGGCCGGCAAGGGCAGGGCGGCGGCAGCTGTCAGGGGAGGGAACCAAGAGGAGCCCCAACTTTAGCCAGTGCCCCCAGTCTGATCACTGAATTCTCCCACCCTGGAGCAGAGGACTTTGGGTACTCAGCCCCTCGTGAGGCCATGAGACCAGTGAGTATGCCTGGGGTGTCTCTCTTCTCCCCCACCCCAACTCCTGCACCTGCCACAGGCCCAGAGACTGGGTAAAGCTCAGGAGTATCCGCTGCTTTTTTGCCATGCTGGCAGTTTCTGTCTGAAATGATCATCTTCAGAATCTTGCCCAGGAGAGGACCTCAGAGTCCATTTATTTCAACAGCCCTCCCGCCCCTCATCAGTTTCACAGCTTGGGAAGCTGAAGCTCAGGAAGGGCCCCGACGTGCCTAGCACTGCCCAGCACGGTGGGGCAGAGCCAGGACCACAGGCAGCCTCCCCGTCCGCAGCAGGTTCCCCAGCCCCAGCCGCAGCCTGTGAGTGGTTGAGGCAGTGCAGATCCAGCCTTGACACAGGAGATGCACCTGCAGGGCTCCTTTGGCCTGCTCCTAGCCCTGCTTCTGGAAGATTCTGGGCCTGCCTCAACTACCCCTGAGAGCTCAAACCCGCTCACTGCAGAGAAGGGGAGATGCGGGGGCTAGAATGCTAATGCCCTGCTGCCCCACATTGGCTTGGCACCGCCTTCGCTTGCTGGCAGCAGAGGCTCCCAGGAGGGCTCTGAGCACGGAAGCCAGGAATGTAGCAAATTATGGGAAGACCCCCCTCATATCTCCCCGTCTCCCCACAGGGGACGACGAGGAAGATGAGCCTGAGATCCCAGTGAGCCCCCGACCGCGCCCGCTGGCCGAGCTGCAGCTGAAAGAGAAGGCGGTGCCCATTCCAGAGGCCAGCTCCTTCTTCATCTTCAGCCCCACCAACAAGTGGGTGGTCCCCTGGCTGCTGTGTGGGGTCACTGCTGAAGCTTGGAGAGATCCGCTTCCCTGCCCTCAAGAGACCTCTTTCTAATCCCCCGTGCCCTAAATTACACTGGGAGAAACTCCTTTCAGCTTCAGACCTTGTGCCCTGTCTAAAGTGCCGGCGTCTCTGCGAGAAGTCATGCTTTAAACCTCATCGGTTACTCACACCTCAGAGGGACCTTGTTTTAGGGCAAGGGGATGAGAGCAGTGAAAGCCATAGTATTTACCGGCTGCATCATTGTATACCTTTAAAATATGCACAGACTCTAGTCTTCGTGGAGTTTCATCTGTCCGCCTCCCGGATGGAGATCAGCCTGTCCCGTTCTTTTGGGGGGAAACCTCAGGGGGGCGGTGCATTGGGGGAGGGGCAGGAGGTGGGAGGGGCTCGGTTGAGAGATGGGACCTCAGAACGAGGGGGGCAAGGTCCCCTGCACGTCCAGCCAGAGGGCCCTGCAGATGCAAGGCTGTACTTCTCCACTGACCTGGGGGCGGGCAGGCTGGGGGCATCCAGGGTCCCTCTGCAGGACAGAGGCTGCTGCGGCCTGAGCATCCAGCCGCTCACAGCTCTCCCGCCCACCACCCTGCCCCACCAGGCTCCGCGTCCTGTGTCACCGCATCGTCAACGCCACCTGGTTCACCAACTTCATCCTGCTCTTCATCCTGCTCAGCAGTGCCGCCCTGGCTGCCGAGGACCCCATCCGGGCGGAGTCCATGAGGAATCAGGTGATGGCAACCCTGTCCCCTCTGCTGTTCAGCACCCCTGGCCCCCTCCAGCCTCAGCCACCCCCACACCTCACTCTGGCACCCAGAGTTCAGCTGTACCCTCCATGTGGCTGTAAGCAGGAGAGTTTCTTGGAGTTTAATTCCCTGGGGCCAGGACTGCCCACTCAGCAGGGGGCGCAGACAGGCACCTGCTGCCTGCTGTTGGTGATGGTGATGACAACGATGACAAGGGTGACACCGCTGCCCCCCTCCTCCTCTCACTGGCCGCTCCCTTCCCTGCCCCATCCCCAGATCCTCAAGTACTTTGACATTGGGTTCACCTCTGTCTTCACCGTGGAGATCGTCCTCAAGGTGAGCGGAGGCTGTGGGACAGCCCTGACGCGGGGCTTCCCTGGCGTGGCTGCAGCTTGCACACACTGAGCTCACTCGGGGCGGGGGCGGGGGGGGGTGGACGGCGGCAGGACAGACTCACGGGGCCCAGGAGACTGGACAGGGTTTCGGCTCATCGGCTGGAGAGAGCAGGCCCGTGGTGTGCAGGTGGCAGCTGGCGAGGGAGGCAGGACAGACTTGCCCCTCTCAGCTGGGAACAGCCCATGTCTGTGACACCTCCGGCATTTTTCTTCCACATGGAAGGCACAGTGGGCTTCAGAGAAGCCCTGGGAGCTACGGTTTGTTCCCAGACGTCTGTTACCCGTGACCGGAAAGGCCTTCCACTCCAGGAGTCCCCAGAGAAGTGCCACTGCCCTGAGCCGGCAGCTCTGCCCGTTCTCAATGTGGACACACTGGGTTCGGGCCATCATGGGGCCATGGGCTCTGGCGGGCAGAGGGAAGACCCCTCTGTGACTGAAACCCGGTAGCCCCAGCCTACATGTCCACAAGGAGAGGAGAGGGTGGCCGAGCCCAAGAACAGGCCCAGGGAGGCTGCCGTATGAAATCAAGACAGTCCCTTAATTCAGGGCCTCGGCTATTGAAGGGGCTGAGCAGAGGGACATGGTGGCTTCCCCGAGGTCCAGGAGGACTTTGTGGAGTCAGAGGCATTAGAGCCAGACCTTGAAGTTGGACAGGACTCCACAGGGGAGAGGTAGCCGGGGCAGTCTAGGGGGACAGGCAGTAGCAAATGCATTGTAGGGAGATTTGAGGACACCGTCAGGAGAGAGAAGGCGGCCCTTTGGGCTGGACACTTTGCACATACGGGGCGTGGGGCCTGGGTGCTGGGGCTGGGAAGGCAGATGGAGGCGAAATCACACAGGGCCCTGAATGCCAGGAAAGGCTTCCACGCCGCGAACTGTAAAGGCTTGGTGTGCCTATGCAAAGGGCTTGGGAGATTATTAGAGAATATTCCAAAGACACTGAGAGGTGAGCGAGCAGGCGGGCGGCTGGGAGGGAGATGCAAGGGCGGGGAGGGGCTGGGGCCTGGCGAGGTCTGGCGTCCTGGAGGAGTCGTTCAGCCGGACTCGGCAAGCCCTAGGCAGAGGGCACTTCCCAAGAAGCTTTCCAGGGAGGAGGAATTTTGTCCTGTCCCACAGGACAGAGGGGGCTCTGTGGCTGCGTGGGGAAGAGACCCAGGGCCCCCAGTGGTGTGTGCAGAAAGAGACTTGCATTCTGAGAGTGAAGCCTGGCCCCGCACCCGCGAGAAGTCCCCCTGCTTCAGCGACCGTGAGCAGAGCGGAGAAATGCATTCAGGCCACAGCAAGGAGTTGAGCGAAGGACCGAGGAAGCTTCAGGCAGGCTGCTTGCCTAGATACGCGCTCTTCCTGCGCAGACCGGGGCGAGAAGCCTTCGTTTGTGGGGGACAGGCCTGTTCCCTGAGCCCCTCCCCACCCAGGATGCTGCCTCTGTCTCCCCAGATGACGACCTACGGGGCCTTCCTGCACAAGGGCTCCTTCTGCCGCAGCTACTTCAACATGCTGGACCTGCTGGTGGTGGCCGTGTCCCTCATCTCCATGGGACTTGAGTAAGCAGTGCCGGGGCTGCAGAGTGAGGATCCCACCTGCTCTGGTTGGGGGGCACCGTGCCGCAAGAGGAGGGTCTCTTGGGACCACTGATGGGGGTGGGGAGATCCCTGGGTTGTCACCAGCTGGAATGCAGTGACATGCAGAGTGGGCAGGGCCCTGTCCTGGAGACTGGCAGGGATGCAGAGAGGTGGAGGCGGTCCCCCCACCCCGTGGGCAGCACACTCCCTGTCTTCAGGTCGCTCCTTGTCTGATGGGAGAGGTAGAGCCTCAAGCCACACATGGAAGCCCACGTCCTATTGCACAAGACAGTGACAAGCTCCAGCCCAGCTGGCAAGCGGTGGCTTTACCTGGGGCAGAGCTCACGCGCACAGCTGCGGAAAGGGGCCGGGAAAGGCCGCCGGTGTTGAGAGCAGGTGGCAGGACGGCGGGTCCATGGCAGGTCTGTCTGGCTGGGGCAGGCTGCCCTCAGCCCCGCACCTCTGCCGCCTCCCCCAGGTCCAGCGCCATCTCCGTGGTGAAGATTCTGAGGGTGCTGAGGGTGCTGCGACCCCTCCGAGCCATCAACAGAGCCAAGGGGCTGAAGGTGAGAGGGGGCCTGGGCAGGAGCCCCCGGAGAGGGAAGAGAGGGGCTGGCGGGGCCTGACTACAGCCTTTGCTGGGCACCTGTCCCCTCTCCTTGGCCAAACAGCGGGTAGAAATGGGGCTGGGGCAGCGGTGCTTCCCCACCAGCCTCTCTCTGCCTTCGACTCCCTGGGAGGCAGCAAGTCTTGCACGTCTGGGGGTTCCCTCGGCTGGGCTCGTGGGGATGCGGCTGGTGCACACCCAGCCCCCATCGGCCCCTCTGCCCCCAGCACGTGGTGCAGTGCATGTTCGTGGCCATCAGCACCATCGGGAACATCGTGCTGGTCACCACCCTGCTGCAGTTCATGTTCGCTTGCATCGGCGTGCAGCTCTTCAAGGTGAGGCCCCACCTGCTCCAGCAGCCTCCCCGCTTCCCCAGCCCTGTGCCAGCTCTCAAGCCAAGGCGAGAGCCAGTCGATTTCTCCTTCTCCAAGCAAAAAGAACCCCCAAACTGTAAAAACAGAGGTTCTTGAATGCATGGAATTTTGAGGCTAAAATATGGCTAACCCAGATCTGGTTTCTTAGGTAACACCGTCCGTGGCCACTTTGGCTCTGTTGGCCACCATTGCTATCATATCTGCTCTCTTCCTGCCCCTCCACGGCTTCTCCTTGGGGACGAAGTCCCCTCCTCCCGCAGGCCCTGCAGTCACCCCTCCCCTTACCACCTTGCCCACTTCCTCCTGTCCCGCCAGGCCTGTCTGAAACACACACCCACCCCAGCCCCTCCACCTCCGCCTCCTTCGGTGCACCTGGCTCCTGCAGCCCAGGTTCCGGCTGGCATGCCTGACATCATCATGCCTATCAGGACCCTCTAAGGGTGGGAGTCCATCCTGTCACTTCTGGAGCCAACCTTATCTGTTCTCACTTTCCTGGGAGAACACAGCTGCTCGTTTTTTCTCTAGGACTCAGCCCTACAAAGGTGTCCCCTCCCACAGAGCTCTGATTTCCAGATGCCTCTGGCTCCCAGATCATTTTCAGGATGCAGAAACTGATACTCGAGTGGACCCCTGACACCCTTGATACACACATGCTCCTGCCACCAAATCATGAGCACTTAAAGTCATAATGATACAACCTCAGTCAGTCTTAGACATGCAATGGCATCAAATCATTCATTCATTCAACAAACACATATGGGACATTTTCTCCATACATGGGCCAGGGCCTATGCTAGGGCTGAGGAGGTCACAAGCCAAACCCTCCCTGAGGGAACAGGTTTTGGGGGAAGCAGTCAGGGTGGGGCTCCCTGAGGACCTTCGGGGGACAGATCCTGTTGGTCACTGTCCTTGAGGGGCGGGAGTGCTCACAGTGGTCTGGCCACTCTGCCAGCTGCATGTGACCTTCTCCTCCTGGCCCAGCTGAGGGCTGTCCTCGCCCCACCCCCCAGCCTGCTCCTCTGCCAGGCTTGAGTCCCTGGAAACCCTCTGAGGGCAGAGTCTGTCTCTGCCGCGTCCGTAGCCTGGCACTCAGCCCGGGGCCTGGTACCCAGGAGGCCTCCAGACGCGCTCCCTGAAGGAATGAATGAGGGGCTGCCCTTCCTTCAGCTCCACGTCCCTGCCGGCGAGAGCCATTGCCTTTCAGCACCCCGACCCCTCTGGGCTTTGGTCTCTCCTCAGAAGACCCCCCGTTCCTGCCTACCCAGGTCACAGGAACACATCAGCCACGATGGCAATTTTTACATCACGTTTCACTCTGTGCAAACTTGTCACTTGCGTTTCGCGTTCTATCACAGAGTCTCGCTTTGCTTCCCATATGAAATCAGGTGTTTGGCGCCACGTGCCCGCCCTGCCCCGCGCCGGCCGTGGCCACTCGCTGCTTCTCCCTGGTGTTGCCACCTCACCTCACCTGCTGCTCCCGCGGCCACACAAAGGGGGTGTGTAGGAACAGCACAAACCCGTGTGAGGGAGGGGGTGGGGGGGAGGGACAGCTGTGCCTTCAGCTGGTCCTGTGTCCCAGGCCTAGGGCAGTTTCCCTCTCAGCCTTAAAGGAACTGGACCAGAAGCCACGGAGTTCAAGCCTATTTTAGCCACATTAAGACCTAGCAATCAAGTCCTTCTGTGCAAACAAAATCTCAGGTGCCCGACGTGTGGCATAGATAGAAGGAGAAAGTGCTCTGGCTGCAGTCAGTCCAGGGGGGCACAGAGCCCCCTGCTCAGGCCTTGGGGTGGGGCGTGCTGGGACCCCCGCTCAACTCCGAGACAAGTCGGGTCTCCAGGGCTCAGCTGGGCTCCACCTCTGCAGCCCCGAGGGCCACGCCGCTGGCGGGAGGAGGAAGGGGGGAGGTGGGCCACCCTCTTGCTTGTCACGGGGAGCCCTGCAAAGGCCTCCTGGAGTAGCGGGGCGCTGGGGGGCTCAGAGGCACAGGCCTGAGGGAGGGGCAGGGCCAAGCTGTGTTCGTACCTCCAGCCCCTCAGCCCAGCCCAGGGTGCCCAGCAAATGCCCACCTCAGACACTGCATGCTCAGCCTTGGCAGCACCTCGGCCGGGGGACCCTGGGGAGCTGTGGGAACGGATGATGGTGAAGGAGGAGGACTATCGGGGGCCCTGCCCCGAGGAGGAGGCCACCTCTCTGGCAGGAAGAGACAGGCTCCTCCTTCCAGACGCCCTACCTTCCCTCTGCCTCCACCGTTCACTTCCATGGCCCACTTTTCTATCCTGTTTCCATGACAACGTGTCTCCCTCCCCCCTCCTGGATGCAGGGGAAGTTCTACAGCTGCACCGACTTGTCCAAGATGACGGAGGAGGAGTGCAGGTACACCGTGCTCTGCTGGCCGAGGGTGCACGGTGGCAGGGTCGCCGGGCAGGGGCCCTTCAGGCTGGGAACCGGGGACCCCGAGCCATGAGGCACAGGAGGGGCATTCACAGAAACCCCTTGCCTGGGGCTTGCCCCCCAGTGTGCCCTCTGGTCCCAGAGCTGGCCCTTCCTTTCTCCTGCACACTCACCACCCGGGGCCCAGAGGCAGCCCAGCCACGCCCTGCGGAGTGACTGGGCCTCCCTTCCTCAGGGGCCACTACTACGTGTACAAGGATGGGGACCCCACGCAGGTGGAGCTGCGTCGCCGCGAATGGGTGCACAGCGATTTCCACTTCGACAATGTGCTCTCAGCCATGATGTCCCTCTTCACCGTCTCCACCTTTGAGGGATGGCCTCAGTGAGTGAGGGCTGGGCCCGAGACCCACGCGGCGCGGTCAGGGTGGTACCAGGGAGCCAGCTGGCCCTTCCGCAGGCCTGGGACGGATGATGCTCGGCAAACCGCACCGACTCTCTGACGGCTTGTAGGACCAGGGTGCCGACTGGTCACCCCAAAGCAGTCCTGACCGGGGTGCTCTGGCAGACGTACCCAGTCGCCCCAGAGGCATCTGCCTCTCTGCCCGCAAGGGGGCGCTCTGATTGATTAGGGACAGGTGGGGCACCCAGTGGAAAGGCAGAGCCACTGCAGGACCAGGTCTGGCTTTCCCTGCGTGACTGCTCAGAAAGCTCTCCGGCCTACCCATCGCCAGTGGGTAGAGCCCACCCTTCCTGTCCTGGCTCTGCCGCATCGCCCCAGCCCAGCCCACCCTCCCTTCTCTGCACCCCCCAAGGCTGCTGTACAAGGCCATAGACTCCCACAAGGAGGACGTGGGCCCCGTCTACAACAACCGAGTAGAGATGGCCATCTTCTTCGTCATCTACATCATCCTCATTGCCTTCTTCATGATGAACATCTTTGTGGGCTTCGTCATCGTCACCTTCCAGGAGCAGGGGGAGACCGAGTACAAGAACTGCGAGCTCAACAAGAACCAGGTGCCTGGGCCGCCTGCTCGAGAGGGAGGGCGGAGCCCCAGCCCCAGGTCTGGCCAGGAAAGCGCGTCCTGGCGTGACCGCAGAACCAGCATTTGATGCCGAGCCCCAGCCTCCATGCACCCCACCCCTCCTCCAACCCGCTCAGTACAAGTTGGCGGAGTCGGGGGTCTTCTCATGGAACCCCCGCGTACCCAGAGAAAGGAAGCCCTTCGTGCTCCTGGGCTGGTTGGAGCCATGGTGGGAATGCACGGTGATCGCTAAAAGGGAACCCAAGGGCCCAAATGGATCCTTCCCCTAAATAGTACAGAGTCCCTCAGCCACCAGCTCCTGGCCACGGCTGCTCCCGACTCACCCAGAACGCGGGTCCCTCAAGCCCACGGACGTGGGTGTGGAGGGGCCTCTTGGTGCTGACCTGCCCCGTGGTGTGTGTGGCAGCGCCAGTGTGTGCAGTACGCCCTGAAGGCCCGGCCGCTGAGGTGCTACATCCCCAAAAACCCATGCCAGTACCAGGTGTGGTACGTCGTCACCTCCTCCTACTTTGAATACCTGATGTTCGCGCTCATCATGCTCAACACCATCTGCCTGGGCATGCAGGTAAGGGCCCTCTGGGGACGAGCATCCAATCAGACCGGGGCCTGGGGGGCAGGGTGAGCAGGGCAGGGTCCCCGGTTCCCCCAGCAGACGTTCCCTGTGCACCGCCTGGGGAGGTGAGAGAAGCGGAGCCAGGCCTTGTCACCGGGCACTTGTGCTTTATCACAGAGAGAGTTTAAGCGTACGAATAGCATCGTAGTTCTGCGAACAGGAGATGACAGCCGCTGAAGGAGGAAGTGTAGGAAGTAGAAAGTGTTTGCTCTGTTTCTTCTACCGCTACAAATCTGGATGGTTGAGTTGGCTGCAATCTTGGCTCTGGTCTCGAGAAAAATGGGTTTAGTATTCACAGAACAGGTGTCTCAGGAGCTGAGCACCCTTTTTAGACTATCATAATCAGCATCATTATCAAGTCTTAATTAAGCATCTGATCCCGTAAGCCCTGTATAAATAGCATTGCGCGATTAGGCTCCCGGCCCCTGGAGCCCAAGACACACCCAACGATCAGACCACACATTGCCAGGCAGGAGGACACGGAGAGAGAATCTCTGAGCCGGCAGGCCCAGGTCGCACCGAGGATCGTGAGCAATGGCCGTGTTTGGGGCCGGGTCAGGCAGCGTAATAGGGCGATCCTGCCACGTCGGTGGGGTCGGCCGTCAGATCCTTCTGAACCACCCAGGAAGGTTTTGTGAAAGAGGTGGGCTTGCATTAACTTTCTAAACAAAGGGTGAGAGCTTCCCGGGGAAATTTACAAGGAAATAGGTTTCATAAGGGCCGTAGTGGTGGGTCAAGGTTATTTCTTTTAACTGTCTCACCATCCTTGGAGGAGCGTGCAGACATGGTAAGCTTGGTGGGCTCAGTTTCCTACCAGGAGCCAGTGATAGACCAACTGTGGAGGGTCCGGTGCCCAAATGACTAGGTGGAACCTGTCGTGGAGCCCTGACTGGCGGACCTCCCGTCCCGGTCATCCCGGAACAGACGTGTAACTGAGCTCTGGCCTTGCAGCCCCGCATGTAAATAGACACGCTGGGCAGCACTTGGAATTGGAGGTCCCCGCCCCTCCTTGCATTACCTCTTTTGTGGTGGTGATGGTGGGGGGTGTCGTCCATAAGATTCGGCGGAATTCAGGGGATGGCTAAAGCGGGCTCCTAGCCCTCTGAGCTAAAACAAAATGGGCAGGGGACCCAAGGAAGTGCTGGGAGCATCCCAGGAAGAGGAGGGGGCTCTGGGAATGCAGTCTGCAGGATGGACAAGCCCGCCTCTCCTGTGTCCCCTCCACAGCACTACAACCAGTCAGAGGAGATGAACCACATCTCAGACATCCTCAACGTGGCCTTCACCATCATCTTCACCCTGGAGATGATCCTCAAGCTCATGGCCTTCAAGGCCAGGGTGAGTGCTGGGGCCACAAGGCCAGATGAGCCGCCGGCGCCTGGGGGGTGGTTCTGCTCATGGAACACCCGCCACATCCCCTCCTCCTACCAAAGGCCCTTCGCCCGGCACTTCTGCTCCCAGCTGCTCACCACCTTCAGGTACAGGGCAGGCACAATTTCAGGTGTCTGGAATTGACCCACAATAGAAAGAGGCTGGACACCTCTTCCCTGCCCCTCCTTTGAGCCTGTCTGACATCCCGCCTTCCCTTAGCCGCTGAAGAGCAGGCCCAGCGCCAGCGGGAGTATCTTGCCCTGTTTCTTTGCTTCCCAAGTCTACACCTGCAGTTCCAGCCCTGTCGGTTCTGCACTGTCAAGCCCCAGCCAGGACGTTAAGTGGGGTTCAGGGGATGAGAGCGTTCTCCATCCGGACCAGGGGTTCCCAACAAGTCCCCCCTCCCTCCTGCCATGTCCTGCCCTTGAGGAAGGGAAGTAAAGAGCGAAGGGGAGAGGAGTGTCAGGTGGGGCCACTGCCGCCCCTGTGGGAAGTGAGTCAGGACGCCCCACCTTGGCCTGACCCAGCAGCTCTGCGCTGCCTCGGGCGACAACCACCCTCTGCTGGCGGCCGGAGCGCCTTCCTCCCCATGCTCACCCCCAGCTCTGCCTTCCCAGGGCTACTTTGGAGACCCCTGGAATGTGTTTGACTTTCTGATTGTCATCGGCAGCATCATCGACGTCATCCTCAGCGAGATTGACGTGAGTATCAGGCCGGCAGAGCCATCATCACTGGGGTGGGGCCGGGGGCACTTGTTCTGTCCACAGACAGGCGTGGGTGCCCACTGTGGGGACACATGGCACCCTGGGGGTTACAAATACAGAAATGACAAGTCACGGTTTCTGCCCCGAAGGAGTTACAGTCCTGCAGGGCAGAGAGATAACTCAGACGCCAGGTGGACACAATGAGTGTGCCAGACTGTCAAAGGCAAACGCTGTCGTGGAAAGGAGAGGGGTGGGGTGGTCAGGGAAGGCTTCCTGGAGGTGGTGACTGGAGCTGAAAAGGCGAGCAGGCACCTCGGGCAGGGTTATGTAGCAGGGGTGCAGAGCAGGAAGTGCAGCGCAGGCTCAGGGGTGCTGGGTGGTCGAGCTTATCAGAAGCATGTGAACAAGCAGAGGAGAGAGGGGGACAGTGAGGCTGGAGAGGTCAGGCGGGGAGGTGGCTTAAACTTTACATAGCAGGCAGTGGGAAGTCACCAAAGGTTTTTAAACAGAGCAGGATTAGAGCGCTGCTTCTGGAAAGGTAATCTGGAGGGGAGGGGCAGGAGGTGAGAATAACTAAAAGTAGGGGCCCCGTTAGGGAGTTGGTCGTTCATTCATTCCTCAAATGCTTACTGAGTACCTCCCACGTGCCAGGTATGATTTTTGGTGCTAGAGATATGGCAGAGAACAAAATCGTGGGGGAAACAGACAATAAATAAATCTGTAACACGACAGGTATGACCAATATGTATCACGAAGGAAAATAAAGGCAGTTAAGGGCTTAGAGTGGGAGGGAATGGGAGGGTGGTTTCCAGGTGCCATCGGAGCAGAGATCTGAGCACAGCAAGCCAGGGAGCCACGCAGGTATGGGGGTCGGAGTGTTGTTGGGACAGAGAAGAGCGAGTGCAAAGGCCCTGGGGTGGGGTGGAGGGTGTTGGCTGAGTTTGAGGAACAGCAGGAGGCCCTCGGAGCTGGAGCAGAGAGTGGTGGAGAGGAGGCGAGAGAGAGAAGGAAGGAGTCAGATTATCTAGTCCCTTGAAGGCCACGGTTATGATCTTGGGCTTTATTCTAAGAGAGACAAGAGCCCTTTGGAGGGTTTAAATGTGGTCTGACTTTAGTTCTAGAAGAATCACTCTGACTGTTGTGTTGAGAACAAGGTGTAGGGGACACAAGGGCTGACCCGGGAGAGCAGTCAGCAGATCACTGCAGGATTGCGAAGGGGAGGTGACAGGGCTGGGGCTGCCGTGGAGGCTGTGAGGAGTGGTCGAAGGCAAATGGCCCCAGGAGCTAGACCATGATGGCCCACGGAGGGGCTGAGGCCCCGGCGGCGGTGGAGAAACAGCAGCAGGGTCTACACTGCGGGTTGGGGGATGGAGGGCAAGGAGGAGATTCCAGCCAGAGAGGTCCGCATTCCAGATCTCAGAAGTCAAAGCCTCTGGAGGTGGCCTTGCTGAGGATCTGAGGCTGAGGGTCACCGCAGAGGGAAGAGGCAGCAGGACACGGGATGGAGGAGGTCCAAGAGTGGAGTTGACGCCCTGGGGCTGGGAGGGAGGGGGTGGAGCAGAGGGGCATTCATCTTTCTCAGCCATGCTAACCGTGGCCACGGCGGGATTCTACCCAAGGGGCGGCAGACTTGGCCATGGGGACAAGTAGGGGCCCTGTAGGGGACTCGTCCACGTGTAGGGCTTCCCTCTGGACTCCCCACTGCTCAATGGAAAGCCCTTCAGGCCGTGGGGTGACCCCTACGGTGAGAGGGGTGGAGTAGGAAGGAGCAGCCCTGGAGCCGCCGCAGGGGGCGGGTGAGGGGAGTAGCTGGGGAAGAGTCTGGGGTCTGTGAGGAAGGAGCCCTGGGCTGAGGCCCCTGTAAGGCTGAGCCCTGGCAGGGAGTGGCACCTTCTGGGGACTTGGCTGCCTCACCGGCTGTCT